CCAGGGAACAAATCTGTGGGTAAAATAGTATGTATTAGTATGTATAAAATAGTATTACTTAAAGCTGCAGTAGGGAGTTTTGAGAAAACGATGACTTAGCCTGAAAATTTGAACAAGCACAACTTACAGGTCCCACCCCCTTGCTCTCTGCTGCGCTACAGCCCTCCCTCCACAGCTCGTCCTCCACAGCGGAGCCTGTCGTAGGCTAGTAAACAGGGCCACCGATGACGGCGGATAAAAAGTTATATGGCACATTCACTAATAGGGACTAAACGTCAATAATATGCTTTACATTGACTATGGCCTGCCCATACTTTGACTACAAACCTGGTCCTCAAATCATTATGTATTTTCCAATAGCCTACATGTAACATTATAACGTTGCACTCTTTCTATAAGTTATAAATAGCTAGTAAGAGTAAGATAACGTTAATATAACGGTAACTAACGTTACAGCATGTAAGTAATTATTCTAGCGATATATAATGCTAGATAAGGTGTGCTAGTACATTATTTCAGCAACATGACAAGCCAGTGAATTAGCAGGTTTCAATTGTTGCTTAGCAGAGTGCGTCACATTTTATCGACATGTTATGCGGCTAGAGTTTCGACACCGAGTCAATGGGCTCTGTGTAATTCTTTCTTTTTCGCTTGTTTATCGTCATCAGACTTTTTCCTTTTACCTCTTTGTTTTATGAGCAGGTGTCACTCGAGAATTGGCAGTTTAGGTTGTTTCTCTGTCATAAGCACAGCTGCAGCACGCCGGCAATCTTGAGTTTGAACGATGGCTCGCGCTGTGCAAGAGAGGGGTGTGATCAGCGCGGACATGAGCGTGATTGACACTGCTAAGACACTCCTCCTGGCTCTGATTGGTTGTTTCTGACCGGGAGCGTGTATTTCTTGCAAATGGCAATACACTCAAAAAAATGATATGTTGGCTTTACTTAACTTTTTTATGTAAACAGGTTCCACCGGTTCCACATAACTATGTTTCGTTAAACAAACATAATATGTTCATGTAACTTCAACATCATGGGATTTGGTCATTTTAAGCGACCCAATTAAACTCTGAGCTAATGAGTTAATTAAGTGAATAACTGAGTGATGATTGAGCATTATTGAAGACACCTGATGTTAACAAGCAGAATCTCTGAAGGAGAAAACCGGAATGTTTAAGGGGGCTTTTACTCTGGGCTCGTTTGCTGCGGTCCGAGCCCGAGCGCGTTTGTTCCCGGCGCCCCCCGCAGCGTTGGTCTGGTTTCACACTCAACTTGATTCTATCGAACCTTGGTGCGTTTGCGTGCATATCACGTCATCGCAAACGTGCACGGCGCATGATAGAAAACAGAACGCGGGGCAATATTGTGTTTTTTTTTTATTAATTCGCTGCTATTATGCGCAGTTGAGTGAACAATACAGGTTTACTGTCCGTGTGTCACATAAGGTGGCCTTCTGCTGCTTGCAAACGGACGCTTTTGAGGAGACAGGATTTCCAAATTTGGTGCCCTGATTTCACGCGCAATGCACGAATACACTGCAGGCTCACTCTCGCTCGTATCCAAGGTAAATCATCAACACTATCATCCCTTACAAGTGTTTTATTTAACTGAATACATCACAATGAGCTAAAACGCATGCGCGGGCCACTTTACTTCCTGAACAAGTGCGCACCCGAGTCCGTGCTGCTTTCACATTCACGCGAACCGCGGCACGGTTCGGGAGCAACCGAACTCAGACCACCTCCTCCGCGTAGTCTCGGGTTCGGTACCGCAGTGCGCACCCGGGTCCCATGACAGCGTTCACATTAGCGATTTTTCATGCGAACCGTGCCCCGTTCCGAACTAAACTGCCAGTGTGAAAGCCCCCTAAGTCACCATTATGGAGATAAGTGTGTGTTTTAGTTGGGCTCTTGACCATTAACTTATTAACTTTAGATTTTGTTTGGTTGCTGTACATGAGTTATAACAGCCGGATGAACAATAAACAAAGGTCATCTGATGGTGTTGGTTGTGTTTTAACATAATCATTATTTCACAATCATTTGACCTGAGTCACTGAACTTATATTAAACCGAATTTCTGAGTTAACTTTACCTTACGAATAATAGCAGCACTGTCATTGTAGAGCATACTATTTTTAGACTTTTCAATGAAATTTAAATGATAAAATCAATAAATAAAAAAGAAACTTCATAAAAAATCTCTTGAGTAGGCACACACAGACATCAAGAATCAGCCTGTGAATCTCAACAATGGTGACAATTATAAAGCATGTTGCAGTGCATTCTGGGTGCCACCAATCAAAACTCATTCATGGCTCCCATCATGCATTGCTGCATGAATAAATAATGAGCTTATGATCTGTTTGTCACCATTGCTGAGATTCATATGCTGATGATTCTTGATGTCTGTGTGTGCCTACTCAGGATATTTTTTAAGAAGTTTATTTTTTATTTCTTGATTTGATCATTTGAATTTCATTGAAAAGGCTAAAAATAGTATGCTCTACAATGACAGTAAGGTAAACTTAACTCAGAAATTGGGTTCAATATAAGTTCAGTGATTGAGGTCAAATGATTGTGAAATAATGATTATGTTAAATCACAACCAACACCATCAGATCCTTAGTTCATTGTTCATCTGGCTGTTATAACTCATGTACAGCAACCAAACAAAATCTAAAGTTAATAAGTTAATGGTCAAGAGCCCAACTAAAACAAATACTTATCTCCATAATGGTGACTTAAACATTCCGGTTTTCTCCTACAGAGATTCTGCTTGATAACATCAGGTGTCTTCAATAATGCTCAATCATCACTCAATTATTCACTTAATTAACTCATTAGCTCAGAGTTTAATTGGGTCGCTTAAAATGACCAAATTCCATGATGTTGAAGTTACATGAACATAGTATGTTTGTTTAACGAAACATAGTTATGTGGAACCGGTGGAACCTGTTTACATAAAAAAGTTAAGTAAAGCCAACATATTATTTTTTTGAGTGTAGGACCACTGGGAGGAGCCAGAGGAGCTTGATTTTTACACAGATTATCTGTCTCATATTCTACTGTCAGGACATAATGACAGTTTTAGCAAATATATGTTTTCAAAAGTTACCTACAGGAGCTTTAAATTAAAAGAAGATGAAAGAAAATAAATGAAAAGAAAACTAGGTTGTGCGTCATTAGGCTATAGGCCTAGGTTGCATAATGGGCTCTAGCTCTATTGTGTTTGGTATCTCTACCATAATTTACCATAATTTTGTGATTCTGACAGTGATGGTTACTTATTGTATTGTGCCACGAGCCTTCCTACACAGTCATTATGCTATACCACATTGCCCTCCACTATATGTACAATCAGCAGCAAAAAAAAACATTGTAGCATTTTAGAATGCCTATAGTCATAACTCTGTGGTTATTTTGGTGAAATAGTAGCGCAAAAGTAGTGCGACACATTACAATTCAGAGACAGTAATATTGTAATGTAACTAATTACTTTCAAATGACAGTAACTAGTAATATATAATGTATTAACTTTTGGAAGAAACTTGCCGAACTCTGACAGCAGCAGCATGTCTTACTTGATCACAGCAGCGTGTCGTGTTTGCATTGGCAGTAGCAAGTCCTGTACTTTGACAGTAGTGCAGTTCCATCATGTGCCAACTTCTTATGCCTCATTTTCGAAGCACTGGATTAGTTCAGATTTTAAATCTCGACGAAAATGAGGTCGTAGAAAGAAAGGAAGAAGTTGAAGATCAAGGAGGATAGTAGCAGTGAGGGTTATGGCAGTGATGAAGAATATAAGTCATAGCTTGTTGTGGAAGTCAGATATTTGAGTACATTATCCTGCCAGTTTGGAAGATGTGATCCATACTACAACTGGTGGTCAGGAGAGATGCCACTGCCTATGATGCTCACTACACTGACAAACTAATGCTCCAAAAATCAGGACTAAACAGGTCAAAATCAAGTTACTGTACGTGTGGAAAGTGTGGGCTACACTGAAAAAGAAGGGTCTTGTTGATTTTCACTTGTGCTACAATTATTGAATTGGAATTCCAAGAAAGAAACGATTATTTTTTAATGCTTTTTAAAACACTAAGACGTGGTTTCACTACTTTTCAGGCAGTGAAATTACGTCTGAATTCGAGTCAAGTTTTTTTTTACATTTTCACATGTGAGTTCCAAATGAAATATAGTAACAAGATTAAATAAAGCTGTTTAATGTTTGGGTTTTTTTGAAACACTAACTCATTTTCACTCCTTTTCAGAGAGTCAAGTGTGTGAAGTTTCAGACAATTTGCCAAAAATGATTGACCCTAATAGAACAAAGTCAGTTATAAATGACAAAATCCTAAAAAAAAGTCAAAGGTCGGATGTGGAAAACTAATTTTGGTAAATGATTTTAGTCTTAAATATATGTAAAATATAAAGTCATTTATTTTTTTAATTGTGATTTCACAATTAGTCCCATAGAGGGTTAAGCGTGGTCGCACTAACTAATTACTATCACAATAAAAGTGAGTTTGTCAATAAGCTGACTGTGCGTAGCAGATTAGACGAGAGAAGGACGATAGACTTTTATACTCGTTTAGCTTTATGAGGATTTTTGTCCCATGACTACATCTCCCATCGTCTTCTGTAGCAGCACAAGCATTAGTTTCACCCGTAATGTCCATCCTTTCCTCTTCCTTCTGCTGTATTAGTGCTTATTCCTGTTTTGTCAGTAAAGGAAAAAGAGAAACACATGAAATGAAAATGAGTTCATTCGAATCTGACAGCAATCACATTTTTGACTTCACTTGAAGGCCGAATGATTTCTGTGAGTAATTGACATCAGCAAAATGTCCAGAGAAATGCTTGTCAAGGTCTTTCAGAACCGTCTCTGTTTCCTCAGAGACACGGCGTTCGGCTGGATTCTTCTCTTTGGGTGTCAGCTAGGGTCGGGCTTGGGAAACGTGAAAGACAGACCCTGACCACTGGTGTTTTTCTGTTTCAGGGGTGTATGTGCCTCAGGGTTCAGCTGGAGGAGGACCAGGTGGGGCTGGATATCTACCAGGTGCTGGACTTTACCCAGGTATAACCAATGACAGCCATGATCTGCTCACCACTCCGCTGAGTGTTCCTTACAACTTACCAAAGATCCAGTGATCATGGACACTGACATGCAGCAGGAATCCTCACATTTAAATGGGCCTGATTTCAACACCAGGGAAATACATAAAGCAAATTTGCCTGTGAACGCTTTATATAAATACAATATATGTCTAAATCCGAGTGATAACTTATATTTGGGGCGGCAGTGGCTCAGTGGTTCATGTAGGTTGTCTACAAACCGGAAGGTTGGTGGTTCAATCCCCGGTTCCACCTGACCAAGTGTCGTGGTGTCCATGAACAACAAGACACCTAACCCCAGCTGCTCCCGACGAGCTGGATGGCGCCTTGCATGGCTGACACCGCCGTCGGTGTATGAGTGAGTGTATGAATGGGTGAATGTGAGGCAATATGTAAAGCGCTTTGGTGGCCATTGGGTCTGTGAAAGCGCTATATAAATGCAGTCCATTTATATCAATGTTATATATATATCATCATATCGTCCAGCACTAAAACTTATGTAGTTTTTAGTCAGTGTTTATTTAAAAACATCCAATTATGCAGAATATACGATGGTAAATATTTAATTGATGAGTTGTCAATACAATATATAACAATTCTATAGAAAACTGTTGCATTTCACTCAGTTTGGGGTTGCCAGTGATTAGTTCGGCACAGATGTCCTGTTAGAGACACACTCAAAAAAATGATATGTTGGCTTTACATAACTTTTTTATGTACACAGGTTCCACCGGTTCCACATAACTATGTTTTGTTAAACAAACATAATATGTTCATGTAACTTCAACATCATGGAATTTGGTCATTTTAAGCGACCCAATTAAACTCTGAGCTAATGAGTTAATTAAGTGAACAACTGAGTGATGATTGAGCATTATTGAAGACACCTGATGTTAACAAGCAGAATCTCTGAAGGAGAAAACCGGAATGTTTAAAACACCATTATGGAGATAAGTGTGTGTTTTAGTTGGGCTCTTGACCATTAACTTATTAACTTTAGATTTTGTTTGGTTGCTGTACATGAGTTATAACAGCCGGATGAACAATAAACAAAGGCCATCTGATGGTGTTGGTTGTGTTTTAACAATCATTATTTCACAATCATTTGACCTGAGTCACTGAACTTATATTAAACCGAATTTCTGAGTTAAGTTTACCTTACGAATAATAGCAACACTGTCATTGTAGAGCATACTATTTTTAGACTTTTCAATAAAATTTAAATGATCAAATCAATAAATAAAAAAGAAACTTCCTAAAAAATATATTTTGAGTAGGCACACACAGACATCAAGAATCAGCCTGTGAATCTCAGCAATGGTGATAATTATAAAGCATGTTGCAGTGCATTCTGGGTGCCACCAATCAAAACTCATTCATGGCTCCCATCATGCATTGCTGCATGAATAAATAATGAGCTTATGATCTGTTTGTCACCATTGCTGAGATTCATATGCTGATGATTCTTGATGTCTGTGTGTGCCTACTCAGGATATTTTTTAAGAAGTTTATTTTTTATTTCTTGATTTGATCATTTGAATTTCATTGAAAAGGCTAATAGTATGCTCTACAATGACAGTAAGGTAAACTTAACTCAGAAATTGGGTTCAATATAAGTTCAGTGATTGAGGTCAAATGATTGTGAAATAATGATTATGTTAAATCACAACCAACACCATCAGATCTCCTCAGTTCATTGTTCATCTGGCTGTTATAACTCATGTACAGCAACCAAACAAAATCTAAGGTTAATAAGTTAATGGTCAAGAGCCCAACTAAAACAAATACTTATCTCCACAATGGTGACTTAAACATTCCGGTTTTTTCCTTCAGAGATTCTGCTTGTTAACATCAGGTGTCTTCAATAATGCTCAATCATCACTCAATTATTCACTTAATTAACTCATTAGCTCAGAGTTTAATTGGGTCGCTTAAAATGACCAAATTCCATGATGTTGAAGTTACATGAACATATTATGTTTGTTTAACGAAACATAGTTATGTGGAACCGGTGGAACCTGTTTACATAAAAAAGTTAAGTAAAGCCAACATATCATTTTTTTGAGTGCATGAAGAAGCAGAATGAAAGTTCTTTGATGCTTTATTTTCTCTTCAGAGCATACAGCTTCGAAAAGGGTCCAGCGCATAGCCTGTGTGTGTGTGTGTGTGTGTGTGTGTGTGTGTGTGTGTGTGTGTGTGTGTGTGTGTGTGTGATGATGATGTGATGTGTGTACTCACACACAGTGGGAGCCCAGAGCGCTTCAACTTTCTGTGGAGCAGATGGACGCTGCCTTCCTCATGGTGACTACACACAACACTTTGCTCATCATAAACACATTTATACCAAATTAAGATATGATGATTATGATTTCAATCAGAACTCTCAGAATGGATTTCGAATACAAGAAGCTCTACTACTCAAATGCATTAATCACGCTGGAAGGTCTAGTTTAGCAGCTGCTAGGCATCTAAAACCGAACTCTTGAATGTCTTCCAAAGAACAATTGCACGTGCTGTGTGGTGCCGTCTGAGGTTGAGAGTAAAGTTGAACCGTTTCTTCTCGGCTACACTTGACAAGATGCACTCAAAAAAATGATATGTTGGGTTTACTTAACTTTTTTTTGTAAACAGGTTCCACCGGTTCCACATAATTATGTTTCGTTAAACAAACATGATATGTTCATGTAACTTCAACATCATGGAATTTGGTCATTTTAAGCGACCCAATTAAACTCTGAGCTAATGAGTTAATTAAGTGAATAACTGAGTGATGATTGAGCATTATTGAAGACACCTGATGTTAACAAGCAGAATCTCTGAAGGAGAAAACCGGAATGTTTAAGTCACCATTATGGAGATAAGTATTCGTTTTAGTTGGGCTCTTGACCATTAACTTATTAACTTTAGATTTTGTTTGGTTGCTGTACATGAGTTATAATAGCCGGATGAACAACAAACAAAGGTCATCTGATGGTATTGGTTGTGTTTTAACATAATAATTATTTCACAATCATTTGACCTGAGTCACTGAACCTATATTAAACCGAATTTCTGAGTTAAGTTTACCTTATGGATAATAACAGCACTGTCATTGTAGAGCATACTATTTTTAGATTTTTCAATGAAATTCAAATGACCAAATCAAGAAATAAAAAAGAAACTTCCTAAAAAATATTTAGAATAGGCACACACAGACATCAAGAATCAGCATATGAATCTCAGCAATGGTGACAAACAGATCATAAGCTCATTATTTATTCATGCAGCAATGCATGATAGGAGCCATGAATGAGTTTTGATTGGTGGCACCCAGAATGCACTACAACATGCTTTATAATTGTCACCATTGGTGAGATTTACAGGCTGATTCTTGATGTCTGTGTGTGTCTACTGAAAATATTTTTTAGGAAGTTTCTTTTTTATTTATTGATTTGATCATTTGAATTTCATTGAAAAGTCAAAAAAATAGTATGCTCTACAATGACAGTGCTGTTATTATCCATAAGGTAAACTTAACTCAGAAATTCGGTTTAATATAAGTTCAGTGACTCAGGTCAAATGATTATGAAATAATGATTGTTAAAACACAACCAATACCATCAGATGACCTTTGTTTATTGTTCATCCGGCTGTTATAACTCATGTACAGCAACCAAACAAAATATAAAGTTAATAAGTTAATGGTCAAGAGCCCAACTAAAACAAATACTTATCTCCATAATGGTGACTTAAACATTCCGGTTTCCTCATTCAGAGATTCTGCTTGTTAACATCAGGTGTCTTCAATAATGCTCAATCATCACTCAATTATTCACTTAATTAACTCATTAGCTCAGAGTTTAATTGGGTCGCTTAAAATGACCAAATTCCATGATGTTGAAGTTACATGAACATATTATGTTTGTTTAACGAAACATAGTTATGTGGAACCGGTGGAACCTGTTTACAAAAAAAAGTTAAGTAAAGCCAACATATCATTTTTTTGAGTGTGTGTACTCACCTGCACTGAAAGTCCTATAACTCTTACTGGTTTTAACAGGTGCTGGGACGTCCCAATACAAAGCAGCAAAAGCAGCAGGTAAGATCGTTTTACTTTGACTATAAACACTGTAGGGTGATTTCCTCCACTGAGACCAGAATCCTGTATTGTTTAACATCATTCAGACTTTATTCACTCAACCAACCAAACCGAACAATCAATCAATTTGTTGTACCTCAGAACTTAATATTAACTGAAACATTTGAATTATTTTTTCCAACTGATCAGTGGTGTAGAATTAACATAAAAAAGAACTATATGAAGGCATCAATCACGACAACAGCAGCAGCATCAACTTGTTCCAAACCCTCTCCAGTCACAATATTTGTTTGTGAATTATGTTCTCTAAATTAAAATTCCAATATCATATCTTTGTAATATCTGTTGGATATCAGGTGAACTCAATAAACCACATAACTGTATATTTTTCCGTTGCAATAACAATGGAAATGTTCCTTAGCATTGTGTTTCATGAATTCCACACATTATAGAGCTGATGTCCAGTGAGGTTGATAACACCACTGTCTTATCATCAGTTCTCAAACTCGCCAGCTATTGTTAAGTGTGTTTACTGCCCGACTATATCAGTAAGAGTTACTCATATAACACCCATACAAGTCAAAGTTCACCTGTGTGGCAGTCAGTGAAGTCATATCTTGCCATGTGTGTAATGTGTGCTACTTGAGCAGACACAGATCAAGCGTTTCAGAAACTAATGAACTACGCTCTTGTTCAGCAGGAGGATATGGAGGAGCTGCTGGGACTGGTGCTCAAACTGGAGCTTTAGGGGCTGGAGGTTATGGAGCTGGTAAGAGCTATTCAAGGTCATTCATACAAGGACACTTAATTGCTTGCTTACAAGTATGCCGATCTGTACACTTAATTAGCAAAGCAATTAAAAAGATTTTCAGCAATAACAATTGTATAATGTAGCAAGCCAGAGTAATGTCATGAAATTTGTATCACTACCCTTACAAAAAATGACTGTGGTGGTGCCATGGTAAGTGTTGTAATGGTGGTACTAAATCATTCAAATACACCATAGTAAAGTTTAACATATGCATACCGTAGTATTCACTATACTGTACACTACGATTCAAAAGCAAGATTTTGTAATGTTGCAATGTTGTAATGTAGAATTTTGTAAGGAAAAAAGTTTAGAAGGTTTAAAAAAGTTATCAACGCGGCATTTATTTGATGAAAAAATAGTCAAATCAGTAATATTATGAAATATCACATTTTTAAAAACTCTGTTCTATGTTAATATATTTTAAAATGTAATTTATTCCTGTGATCAAAGCTGAATGTTCAGCATCATTACTCCAGTCTTCAGTGTCACATGATCCTTCAGAAATGATGAGTTGATGCTCAAGAAATATTAGTATTTCCAAAATATTTCCAAAATTATATTGATTGATTCAAGCACCAGTTTATATATATATATATAAACAGAGTTGATCAGAGTATTCTTGATTCTATGTTTTGAAATAAGTAAGAATATTGCCATGTTTCTTCAGTACACTTTTAAATAGGCTACTGGCTTTTACCTATGGTCAGAATATCCTTCTTTTTTTTTTTGAGTGGGCGACCTGATCGTTTTCAGCCCAGCTGAGTAAATGATTGTAAACTTACATCAGTGCTACTCAAACAATGGGGCATCAGCGCTGATTGTGTTATTGGAACACGGGCAATACAATATGTGGAAATCTTGGCGCCTACCAAGTGCAACTGGACCCATTCTGATACTGTAATGTAAATATTGTTGCTTTCTCTGTCAAACCAAGCACTATTGGTGCATTAGCCCCATTCGGGTATAATTGAATTTCCTAAAGCAGTGCCGATTCCAGCGACATGTTTGGAGAGATAAGGAATTAAACAAATGTAACCAGGCTCGATCAACTTTGGAGCAGCTCACTGGCTCCTCTGAGAAAGACCTTTTCACTCTGAAAGAGCTTATAAACTCCCCGATATCAGATTTTGCAGTGGAAGTTGTCTTTGGCTGTGATTGTTGGAGTGAAGAAGGAGATAATTGTCTAATCTTTCGCTTTTCATCTTTGAGGTAAAAATACTTTACAGATCTGAGGAAAAGCAGACGGCATTCGGACCCCAGGCCTCACATATAGCTGATGTGGAGCACATGACCTAGCATGAACAGAATCCTCAGAAAACATTTGAGATTAGATTGGATGTAAGGAAGTATCTGAATGTGCTCAGTGCCCGCAGTTTAGCAGTTGACCAAATTCAAAATCAGTCATGGCTGTGTGTTCCTGTATTTCCCTCAAATGGTAGATAATGGGTAGGATTACACACATTCTGTACCAGCAGAACTCTGCAGAGAGCTACACAGATTTTCACAGAATTTGAATCCCCATTCATTTATTGACCACCAGTTGGTCATGTTCTGGCCCTTGTATGTTCATGTATTAAATAAATCATCCGGACCTATGCTTGCCCTGAAACTGGCGTAGGGTGAGCAGCACTGCCAACAACTCAGGGCAATGGATATGCCACTGCAGTCATGGTCCTTTCCAGGAGCCAGAGGCTCTGTGCCCATTGCATACAACACCCCAGCCCATTCTTGTTGTCCGTTGTGACAACAACGTGCCTGGACACTTGTTCTTAGAGCACTCCTTGTTCTGCACAGGGAGAACTTGCTCTTCTCCCAGTTGACCCATAGCCCCAGAAGGCTGAGGTGCCTGAGCACCAGGTCACTGTGTTCACAAATCTCAAGAGTGAGCCAGAATGAGCCAGACATCGAGATAGTTGAGAATGCGAATGCCCACTTCCCATAACAGGTCAAGGGCAGCCGACTTTATAAAAAAGGGGAGACAGGGAAAGCCCAAAGAGGAGGACCTTGTACTGGTACGACCAACCCTCGAAAGCAAACCGAAGAAACGTTCTGTGTCGAGGGGAAATCAAAACGTGGAAACACAAATCCTTTCGGTCAATTCCCACGAACCAATCTTGGGGGAAAATACACATCAGAATGCACCTTGTGCAGGGCCAGGTTCAAGACTCACCCAAATCCCAAGTAAGGGCTGTAAAACCCTGACAGAAAAGCACTCTTTTAATTGAAACAAAAGATTCTCCACCCGGTCCTCCTCTGGTGGATGGAGTGGTGTACGATCACCACTTCCTGGTTCAGAACAGTTCTGTCTCAGGGCTGCTTTTATGGACGTTTGGAGGGTTTGCATGTACATTTAAATAGACAAGTTCATTAAACCGGAGACCATACATAAAGCCGTTTGGAGAATTGATGGATGCAGGGGTGCCGCTGGGATTTCTGGGCCCCGTGGCTAACTTTTCTTTATCAGTGGAATGGGCCCCCTGTCTAACCAGATTCACACATTTTTTAAGATCCTATAATATTTACTTTATTCTGGGGAAGAAAATCAAAATTTTCTCAAAGCACTTTGTTTTTACTGACCATTTATTTACAATGAAAACTTTTCTAGCATTTAGGCTCACTGATAAAATGTTTACTTTGAGCCACTTTGGCTAAACCAGATGCTTTAAAAAGCTGTAAATGGGTTCTTTATGGTTCACAACTGTACATTTGTTATTTGACTTATAGTTCTTCTATAATGACTGATTTATTTCAGTTGATAGCAGAAATTATACAGTAAATGAAAGATTGTTTGCTTCCCCTATACCATCTGCTCTACCATAAGAGGTCATAACCATTGTATAATGGTGTAGCAACTATAATCAAAAGGTCATCAGCAAAGTATGTGTGTGATTCAAGTGCCTGATAGTACATCATGGTTTATAATTTCCAGTGTACCTATTGTAAATCTTGGGATTACTTATAAGCCTTCGCAGACAGTATTGAAAAACATCTACTGTATGCATGGCGAATCCTGTGAACACATAGACAGCGAACAGATACCTGGTGTTTAATTAAAGCAATGTGATGGCTGAGACGAGTGATATGAGTCATGAGCTTGACTTATGCGAGGCCTTGAAAAACAGAGCTAATTGTGAAGCCTGTCATCATTGTTGTGATGAACTGTTGAAATTGGAGAGGGTAACTTTTGGAAACCATCAGATAGCCCCAGTGCCTGAAGCAAAGGAGGATTCTGCGTTGCTTCCCACTGCCAACGCTGTACAAAATGGCTCATTTTGGGTGAATAGCAACTTCTTGTCACATAGCTTGCATGACCTGAAACTGTGGGCGGTTTTCTTCATTGCACATGTGCTTGAGTTTGATCTTATAAACATCATGCTTAGATTGGAGGTGACGAGGAAAGACTTGGCTCGCAATACTTTTTGCATTTAATTTATTGGATTAATTTTGCAATGGCTAAACAGGCAGCTGCATTTTATTTAGTCACCTGATCTCAAAACCAGATTTTGTTTTGATCTGTACAGAAACCAGAACAGCAGAACCCTGAGAAAGTATGTCAGGTTTTGCTTTCCACATGCTTTTCTATTGTCTCAGTGAGAGGAGCCAGTTTGTTTCAGACTTGAAAGGGAGCGAGGGGTAAATGCAGAGAGAATGAAGGGTGTGGGCCAGGCAGATGAGCAGGGAAGAGCCAGCGAGTCTTGTGAAGCACATGTGCTTTTCATTAGCTGGCTCAGACCTGTCCTCAAACTGCTCGCTTCTGGCCTCTGATTGTGAATAATGGCTGATCCTCATGTTGCAGAGTCCACACTGACATCCTCCAACTCCCGCAGGAGCCACGCATCACTTCCTGTGCTCGTCCCCAGGTGCAGACAATATGCTCCTAAAGCAAAATTTGCAAACAAGTCCTTAGAGTTCATTCTCACTCCTGATGATATGGTTGTATGTTTACATTGAGCCATGTCAGAGTCAAACGGTTTCAAGATGCTGGAGATCACTTTTCGTTTCATCAGTCTTGCGCAACCGCTTTGGAAGAGCACAGTTCCAAAAAAACAAATGCTTTTCACAACAATGTGGTCATCATCATAACAGTGTTCTACTATTAGAGTATGATTTAGCATAAAACAAGAAGTCTTTTCTTCTTAGTTCCCTTCCTGAGTAGTGACACACGGCCATAAAGCATGCATGCATCATTAATGGAAGAAGAGATGTGTGTAAAGTGTGACGCTGGAAATAAATAACCAATAAGTAAAAGGAAGGAAAAATTGTGTCAGATTTGGAATTCATTTCTCAATGCAATGTGGATGCAATAAATTAGGCGGGGGAAACAGCATGTCTTCATGAGACAAGGTTATTCCCCAAATACAGTTTCAAAGATTTGTTGACAATGCTTTTCCCATTTCTTAAAACATGAACTGTTCAAGCATGGATACTTTTGGACGAGTACCATGTAGATGTTGTCCCATGACATGAATATTATATATAATAATTTCAAGATAAAAAAACCCCCAATATTTGTTCCTAAATTTCTGGGAATGAATTGAGTAATTATAGCCATTCAACATTACAGTACATTTTTTACATTTAATAGGCTTTACAAAATATAACAACTTTCAATTTAAGTGAACTTAAAACAATCATCATATAAAGTCATTTAATAAATATTCACATAATAATAATAATAACAATATTTAAATGTACATGATAAATGTTACATTTAGTAGCTGTGCTTTTAATATAGCAGGGCTCAACGTATAGGACTTTTTTTACAGGCCCTACAAAAAAAATGTTTTGACCCATGTAACCTCTGTAACATTTTTTTTTTTTATAAAAAAGGCCATGACATCAACATTTTAAATACCACAGTTCTCGATTTCAGTTTTTACACAACTTAAACTTTTAGCCTAACTAATCTGGGCATGGTTTCACAGACAGGGCTTAGATTAAGCCAGGACATTTAATTA